AAGTGCAATAACAAAATAAAACAAGTGATACATGACATTTAAAACCCTTAGGGAGGTATAATGTGTCTTTCCTGAACTTTACTTCTTGAATGTGTGACACATCTTCTGTCTGTAAACGATCAACTGCAGAGCTGTAATTTTTAGCGATGCTATCTTGTCCACATAAAGTGGAGTCAATGAACAGTAGACATTAGTACTGTTCCTATCTTTTTTCAGAAGAAGACAGATGTGAGCATCATACAACGTTTTTGGAAAGCTACCGTCATGAAGAGAGCTATTTACCATACTGAGTAAAAGAGGGGCAACAGTATCTATGTGAACTTTATAAAACTTTATTCCAAAGCTGTCCGGGCCGCAAGCTTTGCCATTAGGAAATTAACGGCCTTATCGCCTAACTCAAAGTGCTTTTGCTTGAGTTTGCGGATATGGTTTTTGACCTGCTCTCCAATAATATTGTTATATTCCTATTTTATTTTCAAGATGGAATTAAAGGTGTCAATGAATTTAGATTGGCGATAAATGCCCTCTAATACAGATAGCTCAGCCTCAATGTCAGATAATCGCCGCTGTCTGGCTCTCTTGCTCGGTGATTGGTAGGAGACAATATGACCCTAACCCTTAAAGGTCTCCCAAAGAATTGAATCTGAAACCGCACTGTTATCATTAGTGAGTAAAAAGTCTGAGATCTTAGCTGCTATGTATTCCCAAAAGGATGGGTCTGCATGCAGAGAGGGGTTAAATCTCCGGTTACAACGACGTATGGGAATATTAAAATTAATTTTCATAAGACAGAGGGGCATGATCTGAAATTAATATACCATGATAAGTTGAGCTGACTATGCTTGAAAGCAATTTAGAATCAACTAGAAAGTAGTCAATCCTGGAGAAACTGCCATGTACAGAAGAAATAAAAGATTATTGTTTTTCTGAGGGGTGCTGAAGTCTCCAGATGTCAACCAGGTCTAGCGATTTTACAAGATTGTTGAGGACTGGGATTGATTTTAGGGGGGAGCCATTTTTGAGGAGGATCTGTCCAATTGGGGTCAAGATAGCGGTTGAGGTCGCAACCAACAATTATATTATAGTTGCTGTTTACAGAAACAAGATTAAAGAATTTACAACGTTAGGGGCATAAATATTTAAGAGAGCTAGTGGAAGGGAATTTATTGTACCAGTGACAAGAACATATCTCCCACCTGGGTCAGTGATCATGGACTGGAATACAAATGGAACGGGTTTGCGGATAAGTATGGCAACCCCTCTCGCTTTGGAAGAGAATGTGGATTGGTACACCTGTGACACCAAATAGATCTCAACCGTCTCTGCTCTATTGGCCGAATGTGGGTGTGCTGTAAAAAATTACATCAGATGACAAAGATTTTAAATGAGAAAATACTGTCGCTCTCTTCACAGCCATGCCAAGGCCCCTACATTTCCAAGAGGTAAAGGTGATGGGACTCATACCTGACCTAGATGTATAGTTATCCTGCATCTAACGAAGGAATACAACAAAGGATAAAGACTGACATAATGGGCAAAAAACTGGCAGAGTGGCAGACATAAAATAATAAAGAAAAATAAATAATAATAATTTAATGATTAAGCTTCCAGTGTTAGTTTTCTGTAATAAGGTGAGAGTTAATACACTGCACTGTATGCAAGTGCATTTAGACACTTAATTAAATTTGTGTAAAAATGTTGTTTTTAGGGTACCTGTATGAGTGTAAATACATATATATTATAAAAAAACGTGTTTTGTCTCTGCAATTGCTCTCTGGGTTACTTACCCAAAGCCTTTATCAAGGCATATTGATTATGTGTCTCCATCCCAGACACATGGACTGTTTGGTCCATGAGCTGCCCTAAAGATCATAACCTGCATTTCGCTCTTCATGACAAGGGGGTTGTTGGGCCTCAGCCATGTGTGTGGGACAAAGGACTCAGGCCTGTATCACAGTCTCAAGCCTGACTAGAGTTATTTTGGAGGCAACTAAACAAAGGGGTCTTAGCCCAGCAACCCCAACAGAAACTAACAAATAGGAGTGAAAAGTGGGGGGGTGGGGGTGTCTGAATTCTCTATCCTCATTGGAGGAGGCCTGAGGTAAACCCACAGGCAGCTCCAGTCTTTAAAAGCAATCACCAGGCATTGCCTCCTTCTGTGTCTGCCGACACCAGAGGACACACTCTCCAACAAGATGGACTCCAGCATTCGAGACAAACCCTTTCCTCCTCTTGGCTTACATAGGTTAAACTCCGGAGCTGAGGTTGCTCAGTCTAGGTAGCTCTTCACATGCTGAATTCAAGCATCAGAAGATTCAGCTGACTACTTCCACAGCATATTTGTAGGAGTTTTGGGCGCAATCAGATGCTATCAGGTTCGAGCAAAAAGAAGAGTTTCTTTCCTTTGATTTTTCGTAAGACGTCATTGAACGCAACTGGACAGGAGCGCTGAAGGAAGCCCACTGATCCCTGAATCCACAAGGACACATAAAGAACTCGGCTCCTGCAACCAGATGACCACAGAGCAGCGCTTTGGTTGAAGATCTGAATCCCGCTTCCCTCCTCCTACATCTGCCACGAAGGAACCCTGTAGTGATGGGAAAAGCAGTTCTTTTCAGTGTACTGAATCAGTAGAATCAGTTCAGTAAAGTGATTCGTTCAAAAGATCTGTTCACCGAATCGTTCAGTACTTCTCCGCAGCTCTGTCTGTGAATCAGAATTTAATAAGCTGAAACACGGCCGTTTAGTTCTGCTCGCGATCGTACTGAGAACAGCCGGTGGTGAATAATAAATGAGCTGAGAATTTAGTTGGATAAAGCTACAGTTTGCAAACTGAAAGCTGCTAAAACAATCACATTTATTTTTCCCGACCGTTCTGTTCAGTACGTTCAGTACAAGAAGAGGAAGAGAGTGACTCGGAGGCGGAGCTCCCGTTCCCGTTCCCCGCTCTTCCTCTCAGTTCGTTCAGTGATTCATGTCGGAGCTCTCGTTCAGTTCGTTCACTGAACTGAACGAGTTCAGTGAACGAGTCACTCTCCGAGTCACTCTCTTCCTCTCAGTTCGTTCAGTGAACGAAACACTGACTGAACGTGAACGAGCAAGACTGCGAGTCACCAGCCTCAGTCACACACACACTGTACTGACTGAAACACGATCGTTAGTGGATGTTAAAACAGTCAGCTGAGTGAAATTAAGTTGGATATAAAAGCTGTTTGCAAACTGACAGCAGCTATAAAAAGCACATACATTTTCGCGACACCTAAATGTTAAATAATATATTTTCTACTTCCTCAATTTTGGAGACATGAGAGGGAGAAGTAGGGGCGGGCTTTAGCGACACAGAGCTCCCGACCGACTCCGTCCTGTTGGTTCAGTCAGTACGTATCACTGACATAAAAGGAGAGGGAGGGCGGGCTTTGAGCGACTCTTACGGTCTGGAGAGAGAGACACCAGACGGGAGAGAGGAGAGCGCAACTGAAGTTGAGAAATGAACGACTCTTTTCAGTAAGTGATTCAGTTCAGTTCGTTCACTTAGATGATTTGTTTGTTTTGAACAAATCGTTCACAAACTACACATCACTAGAAACCTGCCTGAATCTGTTGATTTAACATTCAACAGAGTGACGATCTAACCAACTTTGTAACGATCACCAGGAGTTACCCCAAGTAAGAGCTTTGGGCTGGGCAGAAATAGTTTCAGAAATAGTTATGTTTCTTTTATAATCACTGATAATTATGCATCATTGTTGACGAGACGTCACATTCTGTTTATTATCTGTTGTAAGCTGTGGCATTTGTTTTATTGTAATGAACTGCTGTGTTCGTCTATGTATGTAATGCTATGCTAGTTTACCTTCAGTCAACGGCTTTCACAATCAGAAAGACCAGTGTACCCGCCGTTGAATCAAAGTCCGGCCACTGGCTTTCTGGTGTTTAAGTAACAGTTACTGAACTCAGCTCAGAGAGCTCAAACTATTTCAAAAGGTAGCCACACGGCTTCCTTTGTTGTCCACCATTTTGTCACCATGTGACGAAGCCACATGGTTCATTGTCTCTCTCCACCATCTTGTTTTCTCTCTCTCTCTCTCTCTCTCTCTCTCTCTCATCTACATACACACACACACACACACACACACACACACACACACACACACACACATTTACACCTCATTCACAAGTTTTGCTTGATAATGTTTGTTTGCTTAGATTAGTTTATAATAGTTATTTGTTTGATTAAGTTCATTGATTTTGGATTGATGTTGTTTTGTTTAAATAAATTCTGTTATAATTTTAAGAGAGCAGTTGTTTGTGATTACTGGTGTATTTGCATTGTGATATAAGCTGGGTGCGAAGGCTTTGTGTAAGGATTTCACGCCTTCAAATTATTAAATATAGTTATTAATTATTAATAATATTAGTAATTAAGTAACTGATTTGAGTGATAATTTGGTTATATTTCCCTGATTACAGGTTGGTGCCCCAAACGAGATTAAACATAGTTTAATGATATTGTTATTTATATGATTAATAAGTAAATATAATTATTAACGAATATAACCAAAGTTGACTTGATACAACCCCAACAGAAACTGACACTAGTCAGGTAGAAAATAAGTGTCGTAGCAGAGTTACTTTTCTAATCCCTAAGTGTTATTTTAACTCTGTTTAGCGAGTTGAAAAGGGAACTCTCTCAATGTTAAATGTTTAACTATTTTAAAAGTGTTAATTTGACTCTAAAAAGTGTGGAGCTATATAAACCCTGAAAAAGGGTTAAAATCAACTCTGGGAGTTAATTCAACACTGGACTTTTTGCTGAAAGTCATGTTGGAACTGAAAGTACTTACAGGACATAAGATTCTCAGTATCCAAGAAAATAAGTTGTTAGTGACGTAAAACACAACATCCATAAATTATTTGAATATATTTTTATTAAAAGTAAAAATTGAAAGAACATTCTTGAACTAAAGTATGGACCAACTGCTGTATGATTTTGCCATCTGTCTTGGTAGGAACCTAGCCAAAAGTGGCAGGAAAGAAAGTAGGCAGTTTTCAGGACAGTAACCTGACCCCCTTGAATTTTCCCCATTGAAAATATAGACAAAGCATGTACAGTACAGTTTCACAGTTTTAAGATTACTGCAACTCACCATTTTCCTTGATTTAACCCCACTCTTATGTCCCTAAAATAATGCACAAGTCATTCTAACAGTATGCCATGAGGCACAGAGTACTTCTTAAGTTTTAAAGTGTGAAGGCAAAATCATTTTTTTCCCAAAAATACTTTGATTAGAAGGCCTGTTTAATCATTGACAAACAAAGAAGCTCTCAATCCCACATTTTCAATGAAAGCTGCACATAAGTGCTATAACCATAAATGATCATAATATATACAATGATTTCTTTCCACTAAAGGCTCTCCTTTTTTCCACTTCAGATAAGATGAAGCTGGATTTGCCAAGGAGGTCACTCACATATTTAAATAGCCACACTATTTTCCACCACAGTTGGGTTCATGTATGTGTATGGGACATCCAGATTCTCGTTTCTGACTTTGATGATTACACTTTGTATTTCAAGGTCTCCTTGAAACTCCTTAATCAGCTTGCAGGGAATCTTCTCAAAGAAGTGCTCGTCCGGATAGTGGCCAAGGGGGACCTGATGACACCAATGATACATTTATAAGGTTTTTTTTTGTTCCCATCTAATTTTAAATGATAACAAACATAGGCTATAGATCATTTGATAAACATTGTACAGCTGCAAGAAGTTATCAGAATTTCTTTCGTAAGCTCGATTGTCCTTCTATTACAGTCTGCTGTGCTGCCATGACATCCATGTAATTTTTCTTCAAAGAAATATGAACCTACTTGAAACATCTCAGGTATACGTTTGATTCATGTAAACTTTTCAAGAGGTCGTTGCACTTACAAAGTCAGTGGATTGCTTGCTGAGAAGATGCATGATGGCCATCCCCTGAACTGTCACATTGACATCAGGGAACGTCTCCAGCATGGTGGCCTCACTTGTTGTCCCCTTGGTGGTTGGTGGAGGAAGTTGCAGGGAGATGGGAGTGTTAGGCATCCAGGCACCATAGTCATACTGCAATGAATGAATGATTGAACGGTTCCTGATTATTACTTTTTGAAGCAAAGTACTATGAACATGCTAATAAATAAAATGTCTAAGCCAGGTAGCAAAATGTAATTTGTATGTTTATAGTTCTAAGAGCAGCGCCAAGCCAGGCTTATCGACAGTCTGCCCTTGACTTTATGAAATAATTCAGTATGAACCCAAGCAGTCAATGAAGGTGTTTTTTCCACATTTATCTCCTGCATTGTCGTACGTTATTTATGCTCCAACGTTTAGTTAAAGTGTCTTTATGGAAGGGAAGGAAAACACAACATCAATTGTTTAAAATAGTGAAGGATTGGTTTAAAACAATGGACCTGGTGAGGTTTGGCTTCAATCTCTTCGCTTCAAAGAAAAATGCAAATTCTAATCAAACCATTCCAAAAGAAATAAAACATCATTAAATAGATTTACCTGTCCAGAATTCACAGCTGAGTGCTGTACCGAGCAGGTAAAGATCACCATGGTGACAAACTTGACCAACGCAGCCACGGTGGAAAAGCCCTGGGGAATTCCTGTGAATCGGGGAGAATAAACTGCATGATATAAAGGTGTCTATATAAGTTAATTAAAGTAATATACATATTTATGAAGATAAAGATAAGAGTTTTTATGAAAGCACACCTGTCTTTGCATTGGAAAGGAATCCCTCTACAAAAATGTCTGAAATCCACTTCTGCAGTTCAGAGTCTTTCTCGACGTCAGCATCGCTCTTGTAGTAGCAGTTGAGGATTCCCTTCACAAACCTTTAAGAAACATGGGGAAGTTTCATCAAGAATACTTTGGGATGAATTATACATTTTAATACACCTGCATTAGTAAGACACTAATTTGAAGGCCCATAAACAAATAATTTAAGCCATATATGTCCTTTTCCTGTTCTTTTAAGACTATTTTGTACGATATGAGTTGCAACCTAAATGCAAGCCATACTTGCACTGTTTTACTGTTGATGTTGTCTTTCTGTGTGATCCTGCTGTACAACAAATTTCCCCTTGTGGGACAATAAAGATAATCTGAATTCTTAATTTTGCTCCAACACTAGTAGCAAACAAAATGCAAAATTGAAATTAAATACTTGTGGATGATATCCCAAAGCTTGAGTCCATCATCCCTGTAGTAGTAGTTGGGTACAGCCTCCATCCCACGCTCAGCGATGTCATCTGGTATGCAGAGGGAGCTGTAGGTCATTGAGGCCATTGATCTCTTCAGGATTGTGAACATACCCTCTCCACCACAAGCTGTGTACTAGAAACCAGTATACATTGAATACTGTTTAATACAGTTACTGGACATGCTATTGATGCTTAAAAAAACATTGTTAAGGTTACTGAGCGTGCAGTGTTGGTCTTTTCCTACCTCTGTGAAAGTACCATCCTTAGAAATGAGCCGATTTCGAGCCATGAGGTTGATCTGCAGGCTGTAGCGAGTGTGAGGGATGAGCAGCTGAGGGAAAGATTAAATAATGTTACACTCAGTAAAATTATTTCTTGGAAACATATTTCATATTTTTATAATACTTATAAACATTGACTGCACAGTGCACATTTGAACAACATGGTTCATCAACTTTGGAAGTTTCAAACATCAGCAAGTTGGAAAAAACGACAGTAAGTTTAGTGTTCCATCTTGCGTGTCACCTTGTACAGTGGATGCACCATGGGCACATTTCGCAGTAGAGATACAGCAAAAACTTCAGCCAGCAGATGTGTGCGCAGCAGGTGAATATTGAGTTCATGGAAGTTGAAATCTGCACTTCTCACAAAAATCTTGGCCATCAACCAGTCGTACTCAGAATCAGTAGGACAAAAGATGGGATTGTTGTAGCCAGGAGTCTGCTTCAGCTACAGGGGAAGAAAGTGAGATGTATGTAATTCCAGTCATTCAATACATTAAAATCACTGATTAAACATGATGAACAACCAAGTCTGTATGTTTGCCCGTTTATTGGAAATTGTACAGTGAAGTATGGAGACTGCAGTATACCTGCTAGTTAGTGCTATAAAGCCAAAAAGTCATACTTGAATTTAAGACGCACAAAGACTACACTATGGTTCCCAAAGATATACTTATATAGTTGCTATACCCATTAAACAAAACAATGTTTGGAGACCAACAGGACTCTTCATCAGGTACTGTATAGTGGGAGCCATAGTGTTGCAAGTCTTTGTGCATCTTATCTAGTCATTTTCTCCAACTCAGCACCTAAATAAATGTTGTGGGTGTATTTGCTGATGTTTTCCATACTTGAATTTAACACAATGTAATAGCAGGAGCGCCAGCCAACACCAACGACACAAACCCGCAAATACGTTCAGTGACTCCTTCTGCAGCCAGAAACATCCCTCATCAATCAAAGCGGTCATGAAGAGACAAAATAGCTGGAGAGAAATCTTTTCCTATTTTTTTTCCTATGTTGTTTTTTTTTTTAAACGACAAGTAAAGGGGATTGGCCATGTTTATAAGCTAAACCCAAGTGGTCAATCATGGAACTGCAGTTAAATTCTCAGCCAGGTAAGTTTCAGCTTGGACAAAAAAAGAAACTTGCAGTTCCAAGAGGAAATAATAGCAGCTATATAGAACTAGCTAGAATTTTAGGAATATATAAATAATAATTTACAAATTCTCTACTGCTTTACAGCTCTTCTGTCACTCTCACCTGAATAGCGATTGGCATCAGCTTGTCATCTGGTGTTCTTTGGAGCAGGACGAGGGGAGCCATCAAGTACTGCTTCTTCCCGTTGATGGTGTTTGCTTCCACTCCATCCAAAAGCTTGTAGTCACACAGGTATATGTTTTCATTCTGTTTGAAATTTTAGTCAAGAAAATAATTTATTTTACTCATACATTGTGAAGTACAAATATGGATTGGAAATGTAAGTGCGACTTGCAGGTCCATAATTATCATGTCATCAGGGAACTGTATCTTTCTAATACTAAGACCCATAAAAGGCATCACAATCACCTTTAATTCCTCTTCCAGGGTATGTGGACCATGGATGAAGACCATGCTTTCAGTGACTGGAAAGTTCTTGGTATGGCGGAACAGCGTCGGATCAGCATGGGGTTGACGCCATTTAGAAACTGGTAGGCGAAAAATTCATCCTCCTTCCAATGTTTCTGGACATAGACTGGAAAGGAAGCGGCTTTTTATTCAGTTTCAGATTAACTGTTAAATTGTGACAGGACTGCAGGTGATATAGAAAATTAACAAACAATGTGTTTCACATAATTCAGAGTCAAAAACATAAGAAATGAATACAATTAGTAGTTTTCTATAAAAAAAAATATATATATACATTAGGTACCTAATACCTAATTTTTCACAAGAAATCCAAAGACAGTTTTTTGTTTTCGTAATATCTGAAGTTTATCTCAGGAATAAAGACAATAGGAAGACTTATTCTACACAGCAGAAATGGCTCCAATTCATCACCAAATGTTTCAGGCTCTAGCCCTTCATTAGACATGAAAAAGTGAGGAGACAACTTCATTTTATTGCAGAAGTCATGGATCCATACTAGTATGATTTCTAAGAGGACTTTTCCCCCCTGTTCTATCAATTGGAACCTGTTAATGCCCATTGTGGGTGGTCTTGATGAAAGACAAATCATACTACCTGTATTCCAAACCTTCAATTTATTATCAACTTTTGTGAGAACCCTGATCAAAGGTGATGTTTAAACATCAAGTTGGTCTCGGCTGGCGGGTCAACTTTTTTTAACGTAGGTGATCGGACCATTGGCGACCTGTAACTGTATGAAGTGCAAGCTTGATAATAGAGAAATACCTGATATGTCAGTGATTTTGCAGCAGAATGCCCGGTAGATACTATCCATGTCAGTCCACTTCTCTGTGCAATCACCCTGACCATCCAGTTTCAGCTCAATCAACCTAGGAAATATATGCAAAAAGACATATATTTAATAGTGTCGCTAAATAGGTAGCAAGGAATGAACATAGTTGTATTTATTAATAGATTGCTGTTAGAATTTATGGACTTCACCCTTGAGCTGCAGTGAAGAGAAACTCTGTAGTCTTGGTGAAGGAGAAATGGACCTCCAAAGGCAGAGACTCAGTGTTTTCTGCCTTCATGCATCGGGGGATTCCCTGTTCATACACATGCCATCTGGGAAAACAGAGAAAATCAGATTTAGAAAATGTACAAGTTGAGATAATCTAGTTTCTGGAGTTTTAATTTAGAGGAAGCGTGCTATACTGGACATACAGTGTATACAGTTTCTTCATTAATTGATGTGTTTTATTAATATATATAATAGATTCAGATACAACCTGACAGGTCTCACAATTGCACAAGGTTATGAATTTATGGTTATGAAAATAATTATATTTATTCAAAGGTTGAATTGCTTTACATGCATTTTTTCGAGGAAATTAAAATGAAATGCTCTCAGTGCTCACTGATAGGCTTCCTCTCTCTCCTTTAGCTCCTTTTCCCGACTGTACTTGCCAAGAGGATGGGTGTCTTCATAGACCAAAAGAGCTTAGAGAGAAAAACACAATAATACTACAATAATAGTAATAATAGATTGAATGTCTTTCAAGGGACCCAAAGACACTTTACATGGTGGATGGACCAAACAAAAATCAAAACAAAAGCAAAACTTAGACAGGTAGCAAAGGATGTTAGACAGATTGAAAGGCCGAGTTAAGGCTGGTTGGTGCTTAATTTTTTTTGAATGAACATGGAGAGGGTGTTCCAAAGCATAGGAGCTGTTAAACTGAAGGCATATAGACAGATAGATATATAGATGGATGGATGATGGAT